GGAGGGAGTGCGCAGGGAGTGGAGAAGGAGATGAGTTTGGTGGAAATGATGAGGATGGATTGGGTGTCTTCATTTTTGTAACAGATTTGTTGTGATTTATGGTGGTTAGTAGGAAGGTTGTCATGTTTTTCTCTATTATAGATAATGTAGGAGAATAATATGTTAATCAGGGGTAACAAAAATATAATCAATTTAATTCATGGTGAAATAATTTGGGGTTATGAATAATGTATGTAATTATTTGGGGGCTATGCATGCATGAGGTGTAATTTATGCATGCATATATGTGTTTTATTTATGAATGTATGGGTTTAATGGATGCATGAATGTGTTTTGAAGGGCATTTTCAGAAGAAAATATTTTAACATCCTACACACATTGATAATAGTATAGTATAACTTAATTATCATCAAAACATAAGAAATCAAAATGAGAAGTCAAAACCTTGTCCATGCAACACTAACAGACAGGCAGCACATATAAAAATAATCTAATAAAAGGAAGGAAAATTTAAAGATGGAGCACAATTTGAGATGGACAAAAAACAATATATGGACTGCATAACCCAAAAAATATAACAATTAAATTCCAGTGTCTCTACCAATGATATATGACACCAAATCTGGACGACTTTTAGCTTCACAGTCTTCTTTGCAGACGAATTAATATGTATAGGATGTCTTAAACGTAATTGAGTTACACATATTAGCTAAGAAAACTATTAATTTCATATAAGAAACATGCTTTGTGCTCGAAACATGAACGGGCATAAACTTAAAAGTACAAACTCATTCAGGAGCTTAATTACTCGAAGACAGGAAGCAACACTTGTGCTCCAGAACATGAATCGGAAAGAAATTTACGCTAAGAAGCTTCATATAAATGCCTGTATGCTCAACTACAAGCAGGACGAAAGCAAGAAGATGACAATTAATTTATGAAGATTGAGAATACCAAGTATTCAAAAAAATAATAATAAGATAACCAGACATGCCTCAATAAAGGCAGTTTGTAAAAGAAAAACAAAATTAGATGATCTACAAACTTTGTGATGGAAATCTTACTTCAACTCGTTTAAGATGCTCTTCATGTTTTCGACTTTCCGTAGATCTTGTATTCTGAAATAGTTAAAACAAATGAGAAAGCATACTCCATAAATAGTGCCACAGGTAATGTTCTACGAAAAGTTCAGCTAATTCACTATGATAATAAAAGTTCGGCTAATTCACTATGATAATCAATACCTCATGGATCTCCTCAACACTTTGAATTGCATCTAGGCTTGACTGCAAGAACAGTTTGAATATGATCTCAGTTGCAAGAAAAAAAATAGCACCTAAATGTTTTGGGTGAATGGAAATTATTATTGCCTTTACATGAGAAATGTGTACACACCAAAATAATAATATCAAAAACAAAACCATGCAGACGAGAAATAGTGTGCATCTAAAACATAAAAGAAATAATCTCTAATCACATAAAGCAGAAAATACCCACTTGAAGGCGATATATTCTCTCAGACAAACTGCGAACTTCATCAGAAGCTCTTTTCTCTGAATTCATTAAAATTTCTTTCTCGTGCTTCAAAATAGAAACCTGAAGAAAAAAAGGAAGGTGTAAACCTCAACAAATAGTTATGCATAATAAATGGAAAATACACCCAACCTCCATGGACAGTTTTCGTGAGTTCTCTTCAGACGCTTGTAAAGAATCAGAAGACGCGCGAAGCCTCCTTTGATAGTCTACTATCAAATGTGTCAACTCCACATTTCTGGCTGAAACTGCATTAGCTTCCTGTCTCTGCAGTGGTTCATAAATTTTGTAAAAGATATAAAAAAACGCGATAAATTACTGGGCCACAATTTGGCTATAAAGAGAATAAAAGTTAAGAAAGGAAAGAAGAGGCTCTGTATATTAGTGAATTGTCGGACAACTGACAAAATATGCCAAAATCCTAATAAAAAGACTAACTACTAGTACAAGAGGGCATAACCTACCTGATGATCAAATTCCTTCATGAAACTATCTAGTCGTGCGCTAGCAAAATTTGCCTCCAGCGACATCTTATCTCGCTCTGATCGCAATGACAAAAGCTCACCCCTAATAGTATAAGGTACAACTAAAATTAGAACAGTGCCTGTATACAAATCTCAAAGATAATATGTCTAATATCAAAATTGTCAGAATCTAACAATCCTAGCAGCAGAAAATGATGCCCATTAAGTTTAACTGTAAAACTTCAAAATAATTATTTGACATCAACATACAGAATTAGAGAGAGATTTACATCAACAAAATGCAACATCAAAGAGGCGATTAGCCCAGACAAAATCAAAAAAGAATCAGAAAAAAAGAATCAGACTATCAGGATAGTGCAAAATAGGAAATGCAAATAATAGAAGAAACTAAATTTAGGAGCCATGCTATGCCTACACGGAAGGTAAAAACTAAAAAGAGAACCAACTGATGTAAGCCGTGGAACACATGTTTGTAGCACAGGCAACCCATAATAACATGTAAAAAAAGGTGCTAAGAGCATGCCACGCACACATGCGCACACACAGAGAGACATACATGCATATATAAATAAACACATTCACACGTACATGCATAGTGAGAGCACATATATTTTTAAATTGACAACATGATTAATCCATTGAGAAAAAAAATTAAAGAGTGACTCATAAATGATGACGTGAACATAACCACATACAGGATATCCAATGACATAATATTAATGTCTCCAAGATTTTAAATGTTGAATTACATTTACGATCAGATATACATCCCACAAACAAGAACATCTGCACCACATCTGATATATATTATTCTTACAGACTATAGAAAGTATATGTAAGCTGTATATCTTCTTGTGACAATCTCATGCACAGCAACAAGACCACCACAAAGGGAATTTAAGGCTGGAGATACATAAGAACAAACAGAAAGAGAAGGAAAAATAAGAATTTACTCATTAAGAAAAAAATTAATAAGCAGCCAGCAGGGATATAACTGCTATATCAACACTAGTAATATACATCATATGCAACAATATCTCAAGCTAGCATAAAGAATCAAGAGAAAGAGAAAGTGATATATATTATTACTATGACTGCCCTCAAAGAAAATCTGTGAACAAATATATAAATTGATACATATAGGTACACAGGAACAGGAGGAATCTGGTCTAATAGAGTACAGTACATTGTCCTCTATAACACGCTTGATAGAAATGTAGGAAGAAGCTTAATCACCATAAAAGCAGACTAATGAACAAAGAAACATGTCCCAAGAATGGATGATCAGCCCATACAGAATCGCAGGATGTATGAGCCGGGGGCCCAGTACTCCATTATTCATTAACTAGTATCCTTGGGGTTTCAGAACAATCAATGATGAAGTTTTTTCCTTCGTACTTTTGCCACTAAGATGTCATAAAGAAGAAAGATATTGCATAATATACTGTGCCATTAAGCTTTAGATGAAACCATGGGATAAAAGAAGGTTATGTAAAGAGATTTCCAGTATTGGAGACTTGGAATAAGCAGGTTAGACATATGATGTGTAAAGATATGATGAGTAAAGAAAACAAAAAAAACCTTTGAGCAAGAGGTAAGAAAAACCTGCAACCCAAGACAAATCCCCACACTTTCTGTAATACTCCAGTACATAAGTAGATGAAGAAAACAACTATTTGGTGTTACACATAGGAGCTTCTCAGGACCAAATCTAGAAACAAGTTGCCTTGCTTCTAAATTTTCTGTGGCATGTCAGAGACTAATGAATAATTGTTATCGTATGATAAACCAAATGGCAAAATAGCAAAGGCATATATAACGACAAAGCATGCATAAAGAAGCATGTCATCTTCTTCAAAGCTGAAAAATTAAAGTGAAGGACCTTTAAAAGAAAATGCATGAACATCACCTCAGTGTTGCCAGCTCTTGTTCAAGATTTTTAGCACGTTCAGAAAGCTGCTCATGGGATTTCTTTGAAACTTCCTGAGCAATTTAATGCATAACACAATAATAATGACAAGGAAAAGAATATGTGCCTGGCCAATGCAGAGACAATCCTAGTGATGCTCACCTGAGAACCTTCAAAGAGAACCATAAAATCTTTTTTGCCGTCTTCTGTTATAACACAGGTTAAACACAGATTAGAACAGTCAACATTAAGCTACACTCTAATTATACAGCTGCAATTATTGACGGCTTAATAAAACTAGAAATCAAGCACATCTACAATATGTATCAAGAAAATATTAGAACATATTAGTTTATTACAGTTACATTCAAACTAGTACATGATTAACATAATCATACTACGATACATGAATATGCCAAAATCAAGCTTGTCTATAAGGAAGACAAAAAGCAGAAATAATGTGCTAATGGAGCAGTGCCTTTAATGAAAACATGGAGGACATGTCCAAACAAAACAGAAGTAAAAGGAAAGAAGCCTCAAATATAGGTCTTATAGGGTCCTAAAATGTCCTTGACATATTCAACACAAGTGAATAGCATTTTTCAACTTCGGTTTTGGTTGTTATTATGTCATATTTATCATCTTCTTACATATTAAGGTGTTTACTTGGTCTCTAGTCAGGAAACAAAATACACGCAGAAGGTTCCATAGGGTAAAATAGGATGACGTGTGCACCAAAAACATTATCAAACCAACATGGCTTTGACATTAGAGTATCAATTTTTAGTCAAATTCAGTCCAGAACAGGTCCATGAGTTATGGACTCTTTATTCATGAGAGATCCATCATTTTCAACAGATTTTTATCAGTGTTCTTTTGAGTTTTACAAGCCAGAATTCATAAGATCAAAAAATCTCCCCAAATGAGATTTTGATCTTGGTTTTTGAACAAAAATCAACCCATGGGTCCAAACTCTATAAATGGATATGGCAGAAATAAAGAGTTCACAAAGTCCGATTACACGTGTATGTGATTTATTGCTTACAATTGATATTTGTTATTCACATAGTTTGCTTTGATGAACCAAACCAGTCTGCAATCTAAGGATTCCAACGTAAATGCCACATTATCATTTAATGCTTCCAAGTTCGGAAGCACAAGTGCAAATCAAGAATTTTTTTTTTTGTTTTAATACCAGAAATATTGCAGAGGATTAGCAGCAATGACATTTTAACAAAATGTCCCTCTGAAAGTCGATTGAATGTGTCGTTTTGAATGGCTCAGTAGGCAGAAAGAATGATGAATCCTTTACATAACATCAAATGGCTCTTGCTTTCATGCAAGTAAATAAGCAAAACACAGTTCTTATTCACGAATAAGTGGTTAATAGAGATTTATGAATGAACTCGATTTTTTCTACAGAGACAAGAGAAGAGAATAAGGTGTCATGACTCATGAGACTTACCAGAAACCACTGAAGTGGAAATGTCACTAGAAACACGGATTTTTCTTTCTTCCTCATATAATCTCTTGTACATTGCAACCTACAAAAGGATTCAGGATGAATTTCATGTGACCATGAATGCAAATACAGATTGTTATTGTCTAAAATCTTTTCTGGTACTATGAGTTTCCATGGCCAAAATATGATAGGCATGTTTCTGATGACAAAATAATTCGGGTATCTCGACGAGAACTTACAGAACTATGAAGAGACTCTATCATGCATGCTTGTTCCTCAGACCTTTTCAACACGGCTTCAACTTTAGCTGCTGCCTCGTCAGTAACCTTTTGCAGTTGAAGTTGGAAATCCTCCTGAAAAATCAGTGGGTTCCTTTTGAATAAGACAAATGAGTTTCAAGATTTAAGTTATGCACATACCAATAAATGGATAAAAGTAACTTTTATGTATAAAATTTACATAAGGAATTGGTTTGGATGCAGAGAATGCTGCATTAACATTACTTATTGCAAGTTGTGAATTTATCGTGCTTCACATGTGGAAAGTCGACCTACTTACTACAAGTGGTATTGCAGGTTACAGCAAGTGGTATTGCAGGTTACAGCACAAAAGTTTTTTAAGTGGTTCTCCCGAAAAAGTGGTTGCAGTACTAATAGCTATGTTAGTTGTGACAAGTGAAGAGAACTTGCATCTTGCATGTACCAAGGTAGCCCATCTGCTTAGGACTACTCTCTTCTTGCGTCAAATATGGTGACTTCAGGCGGAAACATTATTCACAACTAATAAAACCAGATTTCCAGCAGCAAAACATGCCAAAACACCGACTATAGTAACACAACTTGCAGTAGTAAATACTTAGACCCAACCAAGCAAGCCATGAAATGTAACGAAATTGAAAACCAGTCAATACTCACCCTTATCTCAGCATTTCTTTTTTCTTCTTGGATTGAGAAACTGTGCACAAGTCTTCGAAGTTGAACATTTTGTTCAACTAATCCATTTATATCCTTAAAGGTCAACTGCTTCAATATATTGATGTCAGCGTCAAAAGAGAAGAAAGAGGTAAATGAGCTAAATAAACCACAAAAGTTACTCACAAGGTTCTCGGAAACAATTCTCTCAGCATCAGTAGCATCAAAAATATCAGCTGGACTTTCTCTATGAGGATCAACAGAAGACATCTGAGTACTCCCTCCACAACGCAGTTGAACATCTTGACATTCCTTTAGGAGGACAGTTATCTGGAAGATAATATTTATGGAACAGTGGAAATTAAGAAAAAGATCATCATGATATTAACAGCACAATTTTTTCAATGACACCCAAAATTAAAAAGCTCGATATAACGCCAATAAGCATTCTCGAATAGTTACACAACATACCACTAGCTGCATAAATGAAGCATATTTATTCAACAATTAATGAACAAAAGAAATATTTGAAATTTTACCTGCTTCTGCAGATCCTCCAACTCTTTTTCTGCAATAGTATAGTCTCGCTGACGCGTCTTCAATTCAGCCTGAAGGTTATATTCTTAGAACACATCATGAGGCTAAAAATGCCACAGCTAACAAGCTCTCTAAACATCACATACCTTCAGTTGCCTAATTGTGTTCTCAAGATTATCATGATCCAAAAGTGCATCCTGTAACTTTTGATTCATCAAAGTGTACGCTTCAACCATTCTCTCGTGTTCCGCTGACAATTTTATGTTAACATATCAATAGTTGTGAAACTACTAAGCAACACATAACATGTGCATGGACAAGGAAGAAAAAGGTAATCAGGTAGACAGACAACCACCTCGTTCATCCAAAATCATCCCGACCTTCTCCTCTATTTCATGAAAAACCTGAATATTTTAAATAATATCATTATCAGGTTACTAGGAGCAAAATCATAATAAATAAATTTCAGGTTGTGAGCCAAAATTTAAACAGATCAAACCCAATGTACCTTGTTCAAAGTCCGTTCTGCATTTTTTCTTTCCTCTCTCTCATGCAGAAAAGCATCATTAGCTTCTTGATATTTCTCATACATCTTTGCAAGCTATACTCAACAGAAAAGAACCGAGGTAAATATGGATAAAGAAAATCAAATCACTACCAAGGATTTACAAATCATAGAAATGAGTGAGGATCTTACACTCCAACCATCTCGAAGAAGAGAAGCTGCCAATGCTGTCCCAGATATACCTATTGGTACCCTAGGGACAATCATGTGACCAATCTCATTTGTGACAGCACCATCAGATCCCATAATAGATCTGTAAATGATAAAACTTTAAGTGATTCTCATGATGAAGATGAGGGTGAGGACAATAACAAAAAGGATTCTTAAAGAATATTACATGATTCCATACATGGTTAACATTAATATATAAATCATATGACGAAGGCGAACAAGAATAATCAACTACACTGAAAAACATAAAGCCAAAATTAGAATGAGTCTTAGATATAGAGCAAACTTATACAGTTCTACTGCAAAGCCGTGTCATGTCAGACATGCAGAGTCTTCTGTCAATGGAAGGTGTGCCCATAGTCATGAAAACAGATGGCAACCAATAAATCATCCTGTGATAAATATTTTCTAAATACTAGTCATCTGTGAATTTACAAAATTTAAGATAACACTAGCTCTGCAGAAACTAATTATACTAGTTTTGCAGCCCCGCAAAGATTGCATGGTCTGCCATTTTACCCACAAGAATAAACAAAGTTTTCATCCTCACACATCAAGTCTCAACTTCATTATCCATATAGCAACCTTTTTTCTGCTGTCATGGTGTCTCATGTGACCACATCTACCAATATACCCGAAGTCTGATATCAGAAACATGTACATTGAAGTCAGAGAAAACATGCCAGATCTAATTTGCTGGACTGTAAAATAGCTCGATATGTTTCTCAGAAAGATGATCTGATAATTGTGAACACAAATAATTAGCTTGAGTGCACTTATGGGAAAATGAATTAAGAACTTACAAATTCTCTGCATTAAAGTCAGCATGGAAACTAGAGAGTGGTAGAAAGCTCGATTCACTGGCCTTCCTTGTGTTTTCAATTTCAGCTTCACACTTTTCAAGCTTCTCTCTCAAAACATCAGCCTCCTGCATATTATATATATTGATTCATGCCAGCAAAAAGATATTACAGGCAAAGGTATACATTTCAGGATATACACTAGTATAGTTCAATTTAACATGGCAACAAATTGGCAACCACATAAATGATACTTGCTGTCAAAAAACCTCCTCTTAGTCACCAAAAAACAAAGAAAAAAATAACATGCATTGCAACTTCAAGGTAGCCATATAGCAAATACAACAGCACATACCTTCTCCACATCTTTCCTAACCGATGCTTCCTTTTCAAGTTTTTCCTTGTAATCATTTTCAGTTTGGCTCAAATGTGTCTGCATCAGAGAAAAAAATATGCATTGTAATTTAGCTGTTGAAGCATACAAGTTTTCAGTCAATGATAGATGTACAAACCTCCAGAGCTTTAATGACACCCTCAAGTTCTGCTGCTTTTTTGGACCATTCCTCTGAGCTTGTTTTGTAAAGTTCAACAAGCTTAGTCACCTATTCATTAGGAAAAAGATCGATGAAGAAATAAGTAGGACGAATAATATCTACAGAAAGAACTAAATGGACATAAACAAATATATTTTATCCAAATACTAAATAAATATAATCAAATAATAAAACTTATATTATCAAGAAAACAGTGGAACAATGCAAAAACGAAGTTCATATATGACTAGTTCTTGCAAAATGTTAACATTAACATGAAAGAAAGAAACAGATTTCAACTTTGCCCAATGACAACAATGTCACATACCAATTCCTTAGATCTAAGTTATGTTTTACACGGAAAATACTAAAGCTCTGAAGGGCACACCACCAAATGTGCTCAATATTTATAGAGAAGTCCTCGTATTGTAGATTGAGCATTAGCTTCGAGTCAAAAAAATTGATAATGAAATGTTCATTTCAACTGGCAAGCCAACTAACAGCCCAAATCCCACAACAGCATGCTTTGATTAAAGGAGAGGGTTGTCAAGTTCAAACAAACAAGAGGCCTTAGTCATAAATATGTTGATTGAAATTTGAGAAAAACCTGAATATTTGACAGGTTTCATTTCTACAATGAAAAATGTAAAAATATCTTCAGAATTAGTTCCTCAGGATCAGGCAGTTTATAAAAAAATGGAAACAAACTAAAAAAATTATTGCAATTAAAAATAGTAAAAACTTCTGAAAAAACAAATTATGGAGAGTCAGTCTGACTATAGGCTTCAGAAGATAGGATCCTCGGCAGATCATAAAATTATCATCCCTCAGCCTCACCATAACTTCAGAATTTTGGTGTAGTGGAAGATTGGAAGGGCCCTTTGACATAGTATCAGAGCAACCCAGGTTCAATTCATACTGCCACAAATTCACAAATTTAAAGCAGATCTTAAAAATTTGATGCATGTGTGTGAGTCCAAGTTCGGTCCATGAAAAAGGGCTCTCCACTTGTGGGGCGTTTTAGACTACAAAATTATATCCCTCAACCCATACCATAACATCATACCATAACATCAGAGTTAGGGTGTAGTAGAAGGGTCATTTAGCAATCCTCAAGGGGGCAAACGTATAGCTACAGCATCTTTCATCTTCATGCACTGCATGAAAAGTGACACAGGTCGCACTGCATAAATGCATTTTCTTATGGTCCAACGATCATACTTACTACATGCTCAAGTAAAATCACTCGACACTGTATTTTTCGCTAACCCTTCAAACCATGAAACATCGAATCAACACATAAAGTGAACTGAACTTTTGAGTATAAAGGTTTATTTGGTTCAGGTTAGCTGGCTTACTTATTGTTAATTAGAAAAAAAAAATACTTTGTGTTTTTCCTGTGTAGGAAGATCTAGCCCCGCACAAAATTCAGCATACCTTCATGCATTGACTAGTTAGTTTTTCTCACAAGAATAATATGAATAGTGCTCTTAACGCCACATGTTTCCTCTCTTTTAGACGATATAAATTCTCTTCTAAGAAAAAGCAATATTTCTTCTAAGAAAAAGTAAGTTCTTTCTTCGTGAACCAAACAGAAATTAAGTTCTCATTTCATTAGCTCTCAAATTATCAGGAAATTTAGGCTCCTAGGCAATGAATGAGAATATTAGGAACTACCTATATGGCTATATATAATCCCAGGATGCAAGCTATTTGTTGATGATATATAACTAAGCTGCTGAGACTAACATCTTATCCAGGGGGGAAAATGTGGTGACTAAAAATTCGCAGAACAGCGGAATATATTAAATGCAACTTTTAGGGAACTGGGCGTGAACATGTATGATCCAAACTGATGACAATAAATACCTCGGATTGACCAATTATTAATTGAGATTGATCTCTTTAAGGTATGAGTGATGAAGACAAGATGCCCTTCATAAAACTAATGGGAACAACTCAAGCGAAGAAGCCTTTGGAGTATTATATTAAAGCAATATCCTAAAATACGAAAATTCTAAAGATGGTAACAAAATCAGTAAAGCTTTATGAATCGAAATATTTGGCAATTAAGAGAAGATATCCGAAAAATGAATTTAGGAGAAATGAAACATTTACAAGGCTGAGTTCCAATATTCCAAAAGATAGGATATGAAGCTCGACAATGAGATGTGACAATTGAGAACAAAATGATGAAAACCAAAATGAGATTGTTTGGGCATTTTGCAGCCGAGGGCTGAATGTGTGCTCATTACAGAAAAAATTAGAATTGAAGTTAATCGACAAGAGGACTTAGAGGATGCAACAAAATGATATTGCAGTACCAATGAGATCGCTGTGAACAAAATTAAACTAAAGAAAGGAGTGATATAACAAAATTACGCCAACAAAACAGACCCATGGATCAAGACTGGGAGTTATCACTTTATATATTGCAACTAATCAGTTTTAGCAGTGTATGCCATAAAACCTTATTGATAAAACTAAACATGCTAAAGGCTAAACTTGTACTGATTTATTATACCGTCTAGTAAAAGCTCTTTCCAATATCCACTTCCAACCCTAGCAAAAAAAAAAGCATAGCAGTACAAGGTCTTCTATGTTAAATCAAAAATTACTGTTTTAAGTAGGTTCTGGCAGTCGCTGACATTATCCGCTTCATTAAAGTTACCCATATTATGACAAAATGAAACTAAAAACTACGCAAATCCCTTCCCCACTACAATGTGGTACACAATTAGCAAAATACAGAAGTAGAGTGAGATTAAGATTATCGGTCAACCGTATGAAACCCTTCTTAAGTTGGCAACAACTCATCGACAGGGTAATAGTGAACAAACCAAGCATTGGTGTGGAATATAAAAGGCCAGACAGTAGGGAGGCATTACCTATTTTCACTTCAAGCAGTCAAAGTAAATTGCAACTGCTATAATTAATCATATTGTACTAAGGCACAGCAGCTCCTTTGCATGTTTTACTTTCAATGGGTTAAGGAACTTAAGGTGGTACAATAAATTGTATAGATAAGAGAAGATTGTGTACTGACAAAATTACCTCAGGACAAAGATTAGTGTCCGAGATACATCATCAAAATCTCAGAAAACAATAAATGCACAGAAAATCAAAATGAATAAAAGTTCTACAAAATGTTTTTTTTAAGTTTTGAAGTGCAGTACTCACTGTTGACAGTTCGGCAGTAAATCGCTCTTCATTAGAAGCAGCAGCTTCCTTGGTTGTCCGCAACTCCTTCAGTAAAGAAATTAAGTGAAAACTTCTCTAAATTACATCATGGAGGCGAAGTACACACTATACAAGAAACTTTGACTAACGTCAAAGAAATATTACCTCTTCAAGGGAGTTTACTCTAAGTTCCAGTTCATGCACCCGTTCCTTACTCCATTTTAGAGAATTTGAAGCTTCACTAAGATGTCTCTCATGCTGTGAAGGAAAGCATAAGGATGAATACAGAACTAAACCATGTAATTCACTATATTAGAAGAATACACCATTATCCAGAAACGTACATCCGAAAGTTTTGAAGACAGTTCTGCTTCAACATCCATATGTGTTCTACGCAATTCAACAAGACTGTTAACTTTGGCAGTTAACTCCTCATTAAGCCAAGCATTATGTTTCTCAAGCAGTTCTTTCTCCTGCAAAACCCAAATACTGAGATCAACAAGAAATTTTCCATTTCTAGAATTTTAGTAAATTTATATGGTATCGCGTACATATTTATTAGGCACAAAAATCATAACACTAATGAAATCTACAAGTGCAATTAATTGCAGAACAATTTTTCACTTTAGCCCTTTTAAAATTTTTTATTATTAAAATCGACCCTTTTTTCTTTTATTTACCAAAACCGACCCGATTTCTTGATTAGCGGCTTAATCACATTCCTAATTAGTCGGGGTTGCCAACCCCGACTATTTAGGAAGGTCTTAAACCCTAATTAGAAGCCTTAAACCCTAAAAATTAATATCCTAAATAGTCGGGGTTGGCAACCCCGACTAATTAGGAATGTGATTAAGCCGCTAATCAAGAAATCGGGTCGGTTTTGGTAAATAAAAGAAAAAAGGGTCGATTTTAATAATAAAAAATTTAAATAGGGCTAAAGTGAAAAATTGTTCTAGTTGAAATGTAAGTAATTATTAACTTGTTAAAATTGGGGTTTGTGTGATGTAAGTTTTGTGATTTCAGGTCTCATACCACAAACCCATTTTAAATGTTAACTTTAATAGTTATATGTTAACTATTCCTGTCATCTATTAAATATCACAACTATCTATTAAATTTCACCTTAACCTGTTAGCTTTTCCTATCGTCTGTTAACTATCACAGCTATCTATTAATTTTCACCTGAACCTATTAGCTTTTTTGTCATTGTTAACTATCACAGCTATCCGTTAATTCTCACATGAACTTGTTAACTATTCCCGACATCTGTTAATTGTCACTATTACTTATTAACTTTCACATGAACCTGTTAATTTTCACAATCACATGTTAGTTTTATAGTTTATTTTGAAATCTGACTAATTTCTTAATTTGTGCAACATTGATACTTCTTTGAATTCAAAATATAATCATACTACTCCATGAAATACTTTTAATCCAAAGAGGATCCCAAATGATTACCCATCTGGTGAGAATATATTGAGATCAGATGATATTTTTAACAACACTTCCATCATTCCACAATGGTGGCACATAACATTAACTGAAAAGGGTTAACAAATTTGAAAGTATAAATGAATTAAAACTAGCTTTGCAATATTATTCTATGGCAAAAAGTTTGATTATGGATTTGTAAAGAATGAACCGAAACTGATTAGTGTGGATTGTTATGTAGAATTATACTTGTCATAGAGTAATTTAGGTTGTCAATACTTTTGTCTATTCAAGCTATATGAGCTGTAGGAATGTAAGACTAATCAATATAAAGTACATGTTTATTATAATATGCTGGCTATTTCTATTTCCTGTTAACTATCTCAGTTAGTTGTTAACTTTCACTTAAACCTATTAACTTTTGGCTTGTCTTTTTAATTTTCATTGAAAGTTGTTAACTATGGGTATTATTGTAGGCATCAAAAATTGCTTATAAGTTCCCACAAATAGCTCAAAGCTGAGAGAAGACGATGAACGTCACTATCCAAGTCATGTAAGATTAATTAACATCGAAGAGTGCATGAAGTAATTCGACAAACCGTGCGGAGCAACAGAACTGCAGAATAACAAGGATATGAACTGATTGGGAGCCACGCTTCACTGATAAAAAGACGTAGTCTATTCCCGTGAGAAAGACGAAGTCTATGTATTCAAAATCATAGCATTAAGTCTAAGAGAAGCAATTCTCTTAGCACAACGTTACATGTGAAACGGATTTTTATAATTCACATGCTAGCCCGATTCAAACGGTAATAGGTAAAGGCACATCAAACCCGTTAATGGCTGGGGGGTTGCCAAAAATCCCAAATTGAAGAAGACACTAGAATTCCAGTCTAGGAAGTTTATCCCGAATCCTAAGCAGGGATAAGTCTGCGCCTAACACGCGCTGCCGGTTTAGTCTTTCTCCGAAGAAAAAGACACCAGAGTACACGCGCGGGGAATTTTATCCCGAAGCCTAAGTAGGGATAAGTCAACGTCTAATACACGTTGCCGGGTAGCCTATTCCCGTAACAATGGCGAAGTCTACGTATTCAAAGTCGTAGCACCAAGTCTAAGGGAGGTCATTCCTTTAGCCCAACGTCACATGCGGAACGGATTGAGACAATCCGCATACTAGCTCGACTCAAACGGTAGTCGGTAAAGGCTAATCAAATCCGTTGAAGGCTGGGGATTAGCCAAAAATCCTAAAGTCAACGCCTAACACGCGTCGCCGGGTAGTCTATTCCCGTGAGAAAGACGAAGTCTACGTATTCAATATCGTAGCACTAAGAGCGTTAACTCTCTTAGCACAACGTCACATGCGGAACGGACTTAAACAATCCGCATGCTAGCCCGACTCAAACGGTAGTCGGTAAAGGCTTGTCAAATCCGTTGATGGATGAGGATTTGCCAAAAATTCTATAACTGCGAGTCATTGTTAATTTGGGGGTGGATACCAACCTCTGCACCGGCGAGGAGCTCCGACGAGCTCGATGTCGACGAGAATAAAAGAAAAAAGGGTCGATTTTAATAATAAAAAATTTAAATAGGGCTAAAGTGAAAAATTGTTCTTAATTGCAAGATCCCAGACCATGCAGCTTGACTTTTTCTATGAGGGTTCCAAATACCACAGAAGATCTTGATTCCCCACTATTCCAAGACAAAAGTGGTGGGTTGGAACTCATTTTATCAAATGATTAAAATCAAATTCCTGCACTTAAAAACAGCAGATGATCTAACCAACATTTGTAACTACATAGCTACAGAATAAAACTTGGAAACCGTGAATGCATCAAACCAAAAAGCATGAACTGAAAATAGAAAGATGAAAATGAATAGCAATTAGATCACTCTCAAACTCACGGATCCTTAGTCCACATAGAAGACCAATTTCGAAGGAAGTCAAAAAGGGGGTAGCTAGGAAAAATGGTTTTAGAATAAGGTAATCTAAAATGCTACAGTTGTCTAAAATGCTTCAACCGTCTGAAATGGAAGATAACAAGAGACTCCTTTTATTTTCAAAGCAGCTATAGTAAACGGTTGCAGGCCTTCTAAAACTCATATATTACGAAAAATTGGACCAGATTTCTTTTTACTGCATGACGACAACACAAGACTTAAATTTCAACAATTCATGATAGAACTGTCACAGAGTGAAGTCTTTTGGACATCACAAAATGTTTGGTCTATGGAGCAAGAGCAACAACAAGACCTTATGAGTAAACGAGAGCAGTAATTAGCACACTTTTTTAAATTAAACAGCTACGATTCTTGGGGGAAAACTTGCTGTCCTATTTCTGGAGTTGTTTGGCGCTTCATTCATATAAATTTCTTCAAACAAAACCTTTCTTATCTTAGTAAACTATCACCTACTTTTGTGAATAGCATTCCATATTACCCAGGATATGGCACAATAACTTGATTTAAACTCTTGCCAGGGAAAACAAGAATCTATATATTTCTGTTTATTCATCAAAATTTAAATTTGACAAAACTGTTCTGTCAGCTAACCTGACAAAAGGCAAAAGAATGCATATAAAAGATATAACAAAAAATTTCTATTGAATAAGACTCTAAGGGGTGTAATCTCAACCACATTACTGAAGCACTAAATTGTAATTCAAGTGATAAACCAAAAAATAAAGTTATTCAAACCATACAAATGCAAAACAAAAGGCATATAGAGAGATAATGATGTCGAGCATGACCTATAAAGAGGTTAGCTGACTCGATCCAATTATGTGTTATTAGAGCAAAGAATATTAAAATCCATCACAAACAAAACCTTCTGAAAGTTAAACTTATGAAAGATCTAAACCCAAAGAAAGTAACAAAATGGCCAAGAATAACATAAAAAAGTAAATAGAAATGCAGATGTAAGAGATGATAAAATCATTAAAACCATCATAACAACAGAAAATGAAATAAAAGCACATACTTTCTCTCCGCAACAAACTGACAAATGCAAAATTAACCTGAGTAAGGCAGCTACATGCAGCACGACAACGCCCAAGCTCTGCCTCAGTTTCATGCACTCTAGCCTCTTTTGAACTGTTGCTCTCTGTCAAATTAACCTTCCAAAACAACAGTAATGATGATGCTTTATGAAGAAAAAGGGGTTGACTATTATAAATACATGAATAGCGCGTGAGAAATCTGATATGAACTCTGCACACAAATAAAAACATAAAACTAACACTGATAACGAGCTGTTAGATACGAATATACAATAGACACAAATATGCGGTTAATACAACGCAAATATGCCATATAGCATCACCAGTTGTTGAGATGGCACAGCTATAACATATAAATTCATACAAGATTAGTAAAGATGAAATCCAACAAGATGATTAGGTTCAGCATTCTAACCTGATTTTTTCATCATCTTAAAACAGATCACAGGCCTTGGCAAGATATTAAGATTGCTCTATTTTGAACTTGTCTCTGATGTGTCTATACCATCTTTCTAAATCACGTCTCTAAACTTCCATACACTCAGTTTAAGTGTAGCTTATATTTTCTTACTGTTCTATTAATGACACAGGTTGCTAAGATGGCACAAATTCAGCAGCCATGAAAGGGGCAAGATGAAAAACCCATCAAATTTTGACAGGACACAATATGAATAAACCAACTAATAGCTTATATTATGACCCTAAGGATGGTAATATCGCATAGCACCCTCTGTATTTTTTGTTGTTTATAGGCAGATCGATTCGTCATATAGAATGTATATTTTCATATTATACTTCAATCTGTTCATTATTCAAATATTGCAAACATAATTATATCAAATTTTTAATAGAATAAGGTTCACGTTCAAATTATTGAAAATATCAAGTATATATAAATTGTTAATTTATATTTAAATTATGGAAAGGAACAAGAATTTTTGAAACTAGCATATTGGAAGATCTGTCGACCAAAATAACCATGAGCAGCTGCATTATTATCAATTTCTTCCTCTTGACCGAATTTGTATGGAAGATCAATCAACCAAAACAACCATAAGCAGCTGCATTATTATCAATTTCTTCCTCTTAACTGAATCTGTAACTTTCCTTAGCAGACACGTTTGAAGTGATTCCCCTGATTAAACTATGATTAAACTAAGATTACGAAGGAACCATGCATAGCACTAAATAGGGAGCCACCGAATACACCAGCTACACCTAATATGTGAAATGGATGCATAAGGATATTGTGCTCTGTTTAAAATACATTCATGAAGTTGAAAGTACCAAATGTTCTTAAAGGCGCACCATCTGAGAAGCTTTCCTTGACCGATCAGATATATCCAGAAAATAGCAATAGCAGTTGCAACAGAGCTGAATATGCAACAGCAATCTAAGAACGCATACCATGATGGAAACTAAATTCCCACTAATGACCCATGGAACAAGCTACACCAAGTAAGAAGTGTAGAGCAATTAGCTCATAAGGACCACCATTGCATTGTATAACCATTCATCAATTGATGTTGTTTCCCATATTGGGTATGCCTACATCATGTCTCCTCTTTCCTTTTTTTCTATATGTAATATGTGAAACGACCGAAGACCCTAGTGTTAGGCACACACATTTCAGTGCACATACTTGTGCAAGAGAGGCTTCTAATTAGACAAGATAATAGCATAGATATAATTTCACATCAAATTTTTAACCACGTGATGAGTGGCTATTTAGCAAGTAATCTCAAGAATATTGATTTGCGGAACATCTACCCTCCTACCATGACATGAGGCAGGTCATGCCTTATGTTCAACGAGAAGGATACGGTATTCCTCATTCCTAGCCTCCATCGTAGGGGTAGCCTTCTAATCATAGTTGCGTGATTCCCCGGACCCCTCGAACAGTTGTATAGTTCCTGCGAACCGATTCTCGGTACATTTACGAACCAATTCCCTCCGATACACGAACCGGTTCCCCAAACTTAGCGTATCACTTACAAGTAGGCTAGATGTAAAGTCTCTTTAAGTGCACGTGCATAAGACGCAATGCAATGTGTGCAATTAAGTGAATGGGACACAAAATAAAGTGTATGAGCCAATGACTTCACTATAACTACACACATATCTTAATTAAATGTAAAATGAAACAATGATCCTAAAACAAGCTCTATGAAGAAAAACAAAACAAAGAAACAAACACCATCTAAAAGAAGTATTTAAGTATTTTGTATGAAAAAAATACTAAAATTCATAATTAGCTTTCTAGTTTCATACTATATACTTTCGGAAAACTTTAAGCGTACCCTAAAAAAATTTACAATGTACTACTAACCGAACTTGCATACTGAAGCAAGCTACCCCTAACGAATCCAAATTTATTGAGTGGCGAATCGCGTACCCGAATTCGTACCATGACCCGTGACCCGCTATGTACTGTGTACTGTGTAACTATGCTTCTAATATACAAATATATCAAAATGGTTTTACATCGAGGTCTTTTGTTAATACTATGATAATTTTCAATAGAAAAATAAAGACCAAGAGCTAAACTTATTACCTCTTTTTAGTTCAGTTCTAATTATATCTCTCCATTCACATCAATTAATAACCATTTGGTCAATTAAATAGGCGAGCTGCCTATATTACTTTAAATCTTCAATCCAAGTTTCTTTCAACCTACCCCACTTTAAGTATAAAACTGTCATTCACGGTAAATAATACTTACACCTTCCATCTTCCTATTAACCAGATACTCCAAAAATATCCATTTCTAACTAAAATGCAATAGTTTCTCATTCATCTCAATATCCTAATCGTAACTACACTGGCCTTCTGAACATCTTTGCTAAACCTAACTTATAAGTATAGCTCACCTAAGAAAATTCCTTTACCCTTTGAGGCTCATGATCTTCTTCACTTGCATACAACTCCAGAGGCATTTTAATACTTCAACCAACATGCTTTAATGTTATGGTAACACGATTAGACGTATCATCTTTATGATGGAATAAACCTACTTACAGAAATATTTGCCCCAGTTATTTCCTCTATTAATATAAACCATGCACGTTCTTGTTAAGGTTATGAGCATTCTTCTTCTACTACTAACAAATACTACAGAATCTCATGCTTTCTCCATTTGTCCATCTCAGAAGAGATGTTTCTCACTCATAAACCTGATATGCGGGTGAGTTTGTCCATACCAAAAAGAACAGAAAAGAGATAATGTAAGCCTTGATAATGCATATTATTATGCTCTCCGAAGATTTAGAAAAAAAATTGGTCCGGTCCGCTACGGGAAGGATTTATTATCTCAGTGAAAGGATTCATCGTGAAGAATTGATGGTTTATTATTTCAATTCATACAAATGGGACATGGTTTTATGTCTCTAATTCCGAACACATGACTCCTAATATCCAGGCCTTTGAACAAGTAGAGAACAAAATGGTCATAATATCAGCACAGATTCTAAGTCCACCTGGCAAATTATTAGAATGCTTAACAAATTTAATCCACCTTTTTAAGAAATCCAGCATAAATGTGGATCTTGATCGCAAAAATTCCTTCTCTTAATTTGCCCTACAAATTTCCTGCTATCAATATTCCTCAGCTTGAGAAACTTACACATACGTAGACATGTGACAGCATGAAAATTTACAAAATGTCAAAAACAAGGTGCGCCCACTTTTTTTTTTATTTTGAGGTAATTGCAAAATTTTCAGTTGTTTACGTTTCAGATTTAGCTCAATAAACCGCAGTTTCCTATTGCTCCCATGTCAAACTAAAAAAAACATATTCTATCAGCAGTGGATGGAATCACGCGTCATTGAATTGGAAAATGATAATGAAAAAATTACAACGCCAACTGCCCAAACGAATATCAATGAAAAGCAACAGAGCAAACTTACAATTTTATCAAGGTAGCTCTGAATGGTAGCATTTCTCTCTCTGATCTCTGCGTCCTTCTGTTCTACCAACGCCAGGAGCTGCCTTTTCGACTTCTGAAGCTCCGCCAACTCCATTGACAGTCTCTCAATCTCCCCATCCTTCCCAATCTTCCAAACCAAATTAAAACCATAAGCAATATAATAACAATAAATCAAAACCAAATTTTTTTTTAAAAAATGCTATCTTGGTTTTCGACCAATTATTTTGCACTCAACTATGTTTAAACCCACCTTTTTTCGGAATCCCAAAAAAAGGGTAAAATAATGGGTTTAATTTTTTAAAAAAACTAGAAGAAGACTAGGGCGAGATACATACAGCCTTGAGATGCAGCTGGTGCTTCTCGGCCTGGGCGTCGGCGATCTCTGAGAGCCTGAGCTCGACGGAGGCGGAGAGCTGGGCGTTCTCTGTTTGGAGGCGGGTGAAGTCGGAGTAGAGAGAGGAGTACTTCTGCTCTAAGAGAGCGCAGGTCTGCTCGGAGGCGATGGAGGCGGCGTCGGGTGGGCGATGAGCCGGAACTCATCGTCCGAGATGAAGAGGGGCATCGCGCGAAAACGGGACGCTAGGGTTCGGGAGATGAATCGAGCGCGAGTGAGGTAGAGTGGGGGGGAAACGAGCGACGGGATCGAGAAAAGGAATCGAAGTTTGTAGGAGGCTCGAGGCGGTGGGCTTTGTGGCTTTTGAATAAGAGAGGTTGAGACAAGGCCTAAGGCCCAACTCAACTCATGGGCTCATCGTTGTAGCACAACTGGACCATAATCCAGTTGAAGCGATAAATAAAGCCCAGTTCAAAACCAATAAAAACCCCGCAGCAGCAGGGATTGTGGAAGAAAATACTGCCTCGTTCGAATCAAAGTGAGAATAGAATGGAGTAAGAAATGAAATAAAACGAGGGTGTGAATGGAATGCTCATTTTTATTTTTATTTTTATTTTCAACTTCGGATGTATTTAGAGAATGAAGCAGGAATATGGTATCGTAAATTAATGAACAATTTGGGAATGTTTGCACGTATTTAAAAAAAATGTGTTCTTCTTGCTTAAGTGGGAAAGTCAATTCCCTACTAAACGCACCGGGGACGTCCATTCGCATATTTAATTTAATATAGGGATGAATAAGAAGTGGGTATGAACATTCAAACTTTAAAAGATATAGCACATTTACAATTAGATGGAAACGAGCATTTTATTTTCCGCACATTCTTTGAGTACTAAACAAGGAAAAGTGAACGTGGGCGAAACCGTGGGGTTGGCTACTGAGAAGAGTGCTGCTGGGTAGGATTCCACGACTGCCAAAAGAAAAGTGAAAAAAAAAAAAATCAAAAGGTGTTGAAGACGTGACTAGCATGAGAACGAAAGTTTGGCCTGCCTAGCTTTTGCATGTAAGGACCTGCCTAACTATGTCATTGCACGAAATTATCCACATGAGATAAAAACTTTTGCAATACGTTCCCCTGGTTCTTATAATGATTCTAAGAGATCTTCGCAAATTTTCAAATCGTCAGCTTGACGTCTCTTTTTCATTTTCGTGGAATTTGTTATGCGTATAACCCTCTCCTATTGTTTGGGTTTGGGAAATCCAGCCACGTGTGCGACTAACTCGGCAACCAAGCTGCCGATCTACTCTTCATGTAGTACTAGTAGAAAAACGAGCAACCTAGACGGAAATTTCCGTCTAGGTTGATCCAAATCCCGTCTAGGTTAGTACGAGCAACCTAGACGGAAATTTCCGTCTAGGTTGATCCAAATCCCGTCTAGGTTAGTTCAACTAGACGGAATTCCGTCTAGCACGGAAATTTCCGTCTAGGTTGATCCAAATCCCGTCTAGGTTAGTTCAACTAGACGGAATTCCGTCTAGCTAGGTTCGTTTGTTTTGCTTCCGTCTAGATTGAATCAAACTAGACGGAATCCCGTCTAGGTTGATCAATCTAGACGGAAGTCAACCTAGACGGAAGTAAGAATTCTGTCTAGTCTGCCGGACTAGACGGAATTCCGTCTAGGTTGATTATTACAACCTAGACGGAATTCCGTCTAGGTTGCTTTTTTTTCCAGCAAAAAAAATTAATTACAATTTGTATTTTTCCTATACAATTACATTAATATATGAATACATCCAGAAAATACTGTACACATGAATAATCAAAATTTGCTTTTTCTCCCGTACTCACGATTGTTGGGGGAAGGGAATTTAAGAAGGGGAATTTAAGAAGAGTTATCACTGTAGCTACAGTAACAACCTTTGTATTTATTGAGAGATCACAAGTTTGAGATCTGTTCTTGCATTGTAATTTCTTTGATTAATAAGAAATTAATTGTGTGGCTCCTGAAGACGTAGGCAAGTTTGTCGAACCTCGTAAATCTTGATGTACTTTTTTCTATATTGCGTTTTTTGCTGTTTTAGGGATTTAGAGTAGTCCCTCGTAATTCCCAACAATTTTTATACCTGATTTGCCAAATATCTATAAATATAACATATAATGCACAAGTAAAGGAATCCACGATTCTTCCTCCCAAGAACACTAGCCTATTTTCCATTGAATTTAGTCTTCTTTATAAAAGGCTAACTTGAGCGATGGAGGGGAAGAGGAGAATAGTATTCTTCATCAATTTGACGTTTTTTTCTGTCTTATTTTTTTCTGTCTTATTTTTAAGCTATCGACCAACGGAGTTCACTGTTGATCAAAACAGACGACTGTGTCCCTAATCTTTGAGTCTAATCTCCAAGGGGTTTATAGACCTCGATTTTCTCAGCCCAGACAATTATATATTAAATTATTGAATCAGAAGTTGGAAAAATAATGGTTTAATTGTACTTAAATACTCTATAGTTTCAACTATGTTGCACTTATATATCCTCACTTGTTTTTTGCAGCGCTTATATATCCTAAAATTTTAAAACTTTCACTTATATAGCCTCTCTTGTTTATGCAACACTTGCATACCCTAAAGTTTTTAAACCTCGCAATTAAATACCCTCAAGTTTGAATAACTGATAGTATTTAAGTGTAAGTTTTTAAAACATTATGGAATTTAAGCGTACGTTTCAGAAACTTTATAATTGTTGCCAAAACAAATGAGGGTATAGAAGTGCAAGTTTTAAAAACTATAGAATATGTAACTGCTGCCAAAAACAAGTGAGGTATATAGGTGTAAAGTAGGGGAAACTAAAGGCGTTCAATTGCAATTTAGCCAAATAAAAAGGGAAAAGTTGTTATTCAGGGGGTGGGGGTAATTCTGTAATACAGTCATAACATTCAGAGACTTTTTGCTATTCACCCAAAACTTTGCATAAATATCCATAGAAATGTAGGCATGTAGAAACAAATGTGTAAAGAAGAACGCACACAAGGACTAAGAAACAAAGACCAACTGCTGAGCTGTGTTGTCTCTAGACAAATCAAAAGACAGCTCCTTCTCTCCCTTTTTACCCCTTTTTTTAAATATATATATATATACATAACAAAGACCAAAATAAAGAAGAAGAAAGAGTTTAGTTCTTGATTGAAGAAGAATTTGGAAAATGACAAGTATGGGTTATGGGGGCACGACTCAGAAATGCCAAGGATGCGAGAAGACGGTGTATTTGGTGGATCAGCTCACCGCTGACAACAGAGTCTATCACAAGTCCTGCTTCCGTTGTCATCACTGCAGAGGAACCCTCAAGGTATTCATTCCTTCGTTAATTCAATTCAATTCAATTCAACTCACCCATGCATTTTTCTTTGTTATTGAATCTATCTCCTTGATCATGTATGTGCTCTGGGACTAATTCTCATTTTTTTCTGGGTTTCTTGGCTGTGGGTTTTGCATCCCTAGGTGTAGCTTTGACTTGATGTTTATAATTGGGAGTATATTATTATGACAAGCAGTTAATTTTTCTTTTAGTTAGGATTTTATGGAGCTTATTATTATTATTATTATTATGTTTTTTTATAACCCAGCCCAGAATCGAACCCAAGACAGCGGGAGCACCAAACCCTCCGGGTCACACGCAGTCGGATTTTATGGAACTTAAAAACAGGCTTAATTTGTAAACTATGTTGAGGTGAAAACCATTTTAGCTATCTGTCATCTGTGCTTTATTAATTATAGATTTTAGGCCACGCCACGTATCGTATAATCATATTGTTTTTGCCCCATTTTGGAAGTGAAAAATCTACTAATTCCTTAATATATCAATGTTTTTAGTGTGTAAGAAACAAATCCAAGAATTCCCTGTCTGAGCCGTCTTTTGCGTACGATGTTCTTAACAAAGAAAACCATCCTCAGTGACTGAGCCAGCCACTTCCCAAGTCTATGCGACTTCTCTGCGTAGCACCTGACATTAAACTATTATAACAACTGAGATTATTTGCTTGTCATTTGTATTTGCTCTGGTCTTTTAACTTTGCATCACGTATATTATGTGATAATAAAAAAACTTGTAATTTTTTTTAAATATAAGCGAAAAAAGACCGAGTAGAAAACGCCATCGGCATGATGCTATTGTTGCGCGACGGCGAAAGCGTGCACAAATCACACGAGTCGGTAAGCAACTGACAAGAGAACACCAACGAACACGGTTCACAAAGAGAACGACCAAAATCAATCACACACAAACACAGAGATTTACGTGGTTCGGCAAATTGCCTACGTCCACGGAGAGAGGATGAGGAGATTTCACTATATGGAGAAGAAAACAACGAGTTACAACTCACACAAACTCTCAAAATAACCCTAACCAATGATCTCTCACTCCCTCACAATAGCCTCTCTCTCAAAGTGCTCAAAACAATCTCTTTTTTCTGATTAAAAAACCCTAGAAAACGTGTTTCTTTTTATATCAAAACCCAAACCAAAACCAACCAGGAATACCCCCTCTCCCAAGGGATCAAGCCTTCTGTAGTTCATCCAAATGACCGCGAATGGCCTCAACAAGCGCAAATTCGCAACAAGCTTCTATAATGATCGAACTTGTTTCTCGGGACCACATTCGTGAGCATATCTGCTGGATTATCTTTTGTGTGGACTTTCACGAGCTCCACATCCCCATCTTCAAGAACATTTCGGACGAAGTGATAGCGAACATCGATGTGCTTTGTCCTCGCATGGAACACTTGATTCTTCGTCAAATAGATAACACTCATGCTATCACAATGAATGGTGACTGACCGCTACGAAACACCAAGGTCCTCCAAAAATCCTCGAAGCCAAATCGTCTCCTTAACAGCTTCCGTAATCGTCATATACTTTGCTTCCGCCGTCGACAAAGCAACCGTAGACTGCAAGGTGCATCTCCAACACACCGGCATACGAGTCAAAGTGAACGCATACCCCATCGTCGACCGACGCTTATCCAAATCTCCAGCATAATCCGAATCTACGTATCTAATACATAGCTGCCCACCACTTGTGTCCCGCTCAAATACCAAACAAACGTTGAGAGTATCACGAATGTACCTCAATATCCACCTCACGACATCCCAATGATCTGGTCTCCGGTCATGCATGTATCATGAAATCATGCTAACTGCCTGTGACAAATCCGGCCTAATACATATCATGGCGTACATCAAACTTCCCACTACGCTCGCATATAGAGTCTTTGACATATACTCTCTATCTTTAACTAACTTTGGTGAAAGATCAGCTAAAAGCTTCAAATGGGCTCCCAAAGGTACATTGACTGACTTCGTCTCCATGCTCATATTGAATCGCTGTAGCACCTTCTTCAAATAAGCCGCCTGTGTCAAACATATTCTACCTTATCTATGTCTCTGCCGATCTTCATCAGCAAAATACGTTTTGCTTCACCTAAATCCTTCATCTCAAACTCGCTCAAAAGCTGTATTTTCAATTTATCTATTACAGATTTGAAAATAAAAACAACCAATATGTCATCGACATAAATCAACAAATAAATGTACGCACCTCCATAAAACTTACGATAGTCCACACAAGGATCAAACTGGCTTCGAATGTATGAATGACCGATCATGAACCTATCGAATCGCTTATACTACCGTCTCGAAGATTGCTTCAACTCGTATAGCGATTTCTTCAATCTACAAACTAATTTCTCCTTCCCTGAAGCTCGAAACCCTAACGGTTGAGTCATATAAATTTCTTTATTAAGATCACTATGAAAAAAGCTGTTTTCACATCCAATTGATCCAATTTCAAACCGTACTGTGCCACCAAAGCTAGCAAGATCCAAATTGAAGAGTGTTTCACCACCGAAGAGAAGACCTCATTGTAATCAATGCCTTCTTTTTGTGCATAACCCTTCGCTATCAATCTAGCTTTGAACCTCACTGGAGTACCCTGAATGCCCTCCTTCTTGGTATACACTATTTGCAACCAATTGCCTTCCATTCCTTTGGAAGCTCGACAAGCTCTCATGTGTCATTTTTCTGAAGAGACTTCATCTCTTCCCGCATAGCTTCCTACCACAAATCAGCCTCTAAACTCTGTTCAGCCTTTCTGAATGTAGTAGGAACCATCTCATCGATATTTTCCACTAAAAGTGCATCGCAACCACTGTATCTGTATATCTCGCTTACAATCGTATGTCTCTCTTGGGTCTTCGAACTGCAATAGAATCCTGAACCTGAGCCATCGGTCCCTGATCCTGCTCTGCTGTACCTGTATCCTCCAAATCATCAATGTGCTCGCCTGGCGTTATCTCAGTCGACACTCTAATAGATACATTCATATCTGGACTATGTGGAGCTGTATCAATCTCCATCATTTGCGATGTTTCCTCTGTCGGGCTGCTCTCCACCTGATGAGACCTGGAAGGCTTCAAAAGCGAAGTCTCATTAAAAATAACGTCTCTACTCAGCACAATTTTCTTCTCAACTGGATCTCAAAGCTTGTATCCTTTCACATCACGCTTGAATCCCACAAATATGATCTTTCTAGCTCGATGTTCTAACTTATTAGTTTTAACATGATAAAATACAAGATACCTAAAAACATTGAGCTGATCATAATCGTGTGCTGGTTCTTCCGACCACATCTCCATAGGAATTTTTTCCTGAATCGGAGATGAAGACAGCCTATTAATGATGTAACTCGTATATGTAAGTGTCTCAGTCCAAAAGATCTTCTTCAAACCACTCTGCGATAACTAACATCAGATCTTCTCCAATAAAGACCGATTTAACCTCTCTATCATCTCATTCTGCTACGACGAATGACTAACTGTGAAGTGTCTCTCTATGCCCTCGGATCTCAACGTCCTGATTTTTTTTCTGTCTGTAGTTCCAATCTCTTCTACTCCACAAATATCTCTAGGAATTCACTCTTATGCTTCATGGTGTACACCCAACAACGCTTAGAGTAGTCATCCACAAACATGACGAACCAATGTCGACCACCAAGTGATGCCATCTTGGTGGGACCCAAAATATCCGTGTGCACGTAGTTCAAGATGCCTCTCGTCCTATGAATGGCTATCCCGAACATCGCTTTAGTCTTCTTACCAAGAACACAGTACTCACATAATTTAATCTTTTCACTCTTGACTCCCTTCAATAGCCCCTGCTTGCACAATATCTGTAGTGATTTTTCTCCTGTGTGCCCCAATCTTTAGCGCCAAAGTTTGCTCGCTCCCGTCTCTGAAACTGTTGAAGCTACCTAGCCAATCTTGATGCTTCTCTTTAGATAATAAAAATTCCTACTGTGGATTTTTTTCATCACTACCAAAGTTTCCTTAGTAATTTTTGTTACAAGACGTTCTCAAAAATCACATTGAATCCCTTTGTTGTAGGCGTCAAAAATTACCTATGGGTTCCCATACGCAGATCGAGATGGAGAGACGACGATGAATATCATTATCCAAGTTAAGGAGGATTATCTGATGTCGACAAGCGTATGAAGCGAGTCGACGAAGCTTACGAATCAACGAGATAGTAGAATAACAAAGAGACGATCTAATTGGGAGTTATGTCTCACTCACGAAAGGTGAAGCATCACTCGTGTCTTGTTCGCTCCATGTATGATTTACCTATGGAAAGTTATAGATCTCTTCTTTGGCTTTCCGACACACTTTGAATCACGTCATTCCGAGATCGGACGGAAAAATTACAGCGAAAATAGTCAAGACGCGCAAACAACGCCTCGGTCGAAAAGCCGAGAAGCACATAATGTGTCTCGGGCTAGCCGAGACCACAATGTGTCTCGCTGGCCGAGACACAAAAAGTGTCTCAGGCCCCAAACATGCTGTTTTTGCTGTTTTTCGTCGTTAACTGCCCAAATTTTGATATATTCTGATCCAACAGCCCCTCAACTGATTTGAACGTGATTTTAACTGAAGATAAGAGGTTATCAGCTATTCTCATCCGAAAACCAAGCTTCCGAAGCCTATAAATACAGCCTTAGGGTCTTCATTTGCACGGATTCGTAAGTCTCGAGCCTCGGCGGAGCCCTGTCGAACTGAAGAGCGAGAAGGACGAATTTTAGAGAGAAGAAAGAGATCTCGGTGAGCTATTCAGCATAAAGAGGAAGAGTTCGAGAGATATGCATCCGTTCATTCATTTCTTTGAGATCGTACCTAGCTGTGATTCTCGAGAAGAGTGATTATCTCGCTTTGCCGAGATAGTTACTTCAGTTTCTTATCTCATTTGCGAGGTAATAAAATCTATATTGGATCTGATCAGTTAGTGATCCACGGATAAACTCTGGCACAGGCCAAGATTCCACGTAAGCAGCGGGTGATAAACGTCCGTTACGTGTGTTTTAAGAGAGTTGTAATATTTTGTTTTTCTTTTTGTTGAGTTCATTGTAATGACCGAAGTTGTGATGAGTCCACTAATAAAAGAACCAACTTTTTACCAAAACATTTGCCTTTAAAGCTCCAACAGAAATAAGATTTTTTTCCCAGTTGAGGAACAAATCTCACTTCATTTAACTCTCGAACAACTCCATCGTGCATCCGAATCCTGACGGTAGTTATCCAACGAATGTCACACGACTGATCGTTTCCCATGACCACCATACCCCCATCGAACTTCTCGAATGATGCAAACTAATCTCTTCGGGGAGTCACATGATAAGTAGCACTAGAATCCAGCATTCAATCTGATGCATGGTTAACCTCTAGAGTAACCAATAGAGAAAATCATGAATCGTTGGAATCATTACCACTCTTAATAACGTTCATCTCTCTGGCCTTCGGCCCATTCTTCTTGCTATTCTCATTCTCTTTGAGCTTCGGACAATCTCTCTTCTAAAGTCCTTGTTCTTTACAGAAAGCACACTGGTTCTTCGAAATCTAGTAGTAGCCTCTAGACTTTGACCTGCCTCAATTACCACCTCTTGGATAAGAACTCCTTTCTCTCATCGACAAGGTCTCTCCTGAAGTGCTAGCTCTAGAAGACTCTTTATCATTCATTCTCAAATCAAAATTCGTCAATGCATTAGTTACTTCACTATAGGTGATGAAAGATCTACCATTCAACAATATGAGCACAAATGTGCCATACTCCTCATCGAGTAATGGGCCTAACAAGATGATCATTTTGTACTCATCTGATATCTTCTCAACCACATTCATCAAGTCCGATAATAACTTTGTGGAATTGTTCACATGATCTGCAAGTGAGGTACCCCTGGACATCTGGAATTTGAATAACCTTCGTAGCAAGTACAACCGATTTTCAACACTCTTCGTAAGATACTTGTTGTTAAGAATATCCAATATCTTCATCGCAGACGTCACGCCGATAACATCGTACTTCGACTCTTGTTCCAAACAAGATCTAATCACCCCATAAGCATTCCGATTCATCTTGTCCCATATCGTCTCATCATACTTTGGTGGTCTCTCATGAGTCATAATAGTCTCTTCCAAAATTTGAGCATTCAATGCATCTTGCACATCACTCATCCACAACCCAAAGTTGATCCTGTCGTAATACTTCACAACACTGATCTTCGTATTTTGAAGTGCAACTTGAATGGTACTCGATGTAGCCTTGCTACTTTCACGACTATCTCCTGCCATTGCTTGCTAACTCCAAATTATAGAAGAAAGAATCGAACTTAATAGATTTGTGAAATTACCCAACTTGAACCCTAGATTGGATTCTAACACGATCTCCTAACCACATGAGGAAAGAGAGATCTTCAACGGCAACTTCGAAACGCTATCTCCACCGAAGCCTAGATCTTCAATATCCAAGCTTCTAACAACGAATCTTTCTCCACCCAAACCAAAACCCTAGATCTGAAATCTGAGCTCTGATACCAATTGTTGTGCGACGGCGAAAGTGTGCACAAATCACACGAGTCGGTAAGCAACTGACAAGAGAACACCAACGAACACGGTTCACAAAGAGAACGACCAAGATCAATCACACACAAACACAGATTTACGTGCTTCGACAAATTGCCTATGTCAACAGGGAGATGATGGAGAGATTTCACTATATGGAGGAGAAAATAACGGGTTACAACTCACACAAACTCTCAAAATAATCCTAACAAATGATCTCTCACTCCCTCATAATAATCTCCCTCTCAAAGTGTTCAAAACAATCTATTTTCTCTGACTAAGAAACCCTAGAAAACGTGTTTCTTTTTATATCAAAACCCAAATCAAAACCAACCAGGAAACCGAATCAGGCCCAAATCCGCTATCGGTCGAGCGATGCACCTCTATCGGTCGACGGATAGGCCTCCATCAGTCGACCGATAAGGATGCATCGGTCGATCGTCCAGAACGATGTTTTCAGACCCTGTAGTGTGCATGCGATCAGTCGACTGGTCGAACCCAACCAGTCGGACCGATCTGAAATTTCCTATAGACACTGATTTTGCACGTTTTCCCAACACTTTGAACAATTCGTCGCCGTTTTCTACAGCTATGTTAATCATTGAGTAAATTGAATAATTTTATTTTGTGCCTAATGATGCAGCTCAGCAACTATAGCTCCTTTGAGGGTGTCCTCTACTGCAAACCTCACTATGATCAACTCGTTAAGATGACTGGCAGATTGGATAAAAGTTTTGAAGGTACACAACAACTCTCATTAAGCTCAACAGTTTTCTCGGTTTTTTCTCTCTCTGAAAGCAAAGTTAATTTTGTTTTAAAATAGGTGCTCCAAGATCTACCAAGGTAGACAGATCAAACAATCATGAGGTATTCTCAAACGAGATCACATGACTGTCATGTTTCATTTATCCAAAGTTTTTTCAGTTGTCCTTGACCTTCATGCATGTTTTTTTATTATCATTTTGGGACAACATTCCGCAGAGTTATGCTAGCAGAAGATTTTCAAGTATGTTTGTTGGGACACAAGAAAGATGCATTCTTTGCAAGAAAACCGTGTACCCTATAGAGAAGGTATTCCCTCGATATTTTGCTCTAACGTCGTTGTTAGCACATATACAGAGTCCTATGTTGTGAGCTGTGATCTGATTCTTGATAATTTTACTTTCTTCCATGAATTTTTGTGGTTTCAGGTAACAATTGATGGCAGTTCATACCACAAATCATGCTTCAAGTGTGTTCATGGAGGGTGCACGATCAGCCCATCTAACTTTGTTGCGCACGAGGGCAAGCTTTACTGCAAGCACCACCATTCTCAGCTCTTCATGGCCAAGGGAGATTTCAGCCAGCTCGGCGACAGATACCAAGATCACGCGAAGTCGCTCTCTGAGAACCATGTGGACGCCAACGGTGTAGAGGAAAGTGCTTGATCCTCCGCTTCTTTCGGGATTGCGCGGGCTTTGATGTTCCTGTTTTAGGAAGAGGTTTTCCTCGGTTCATTCTTTTGAGTTGTGATTGTTCGAATAAAAATAAAAGGGTTGCGATAGGATTTTGTGAGCTCCCAGTTGTGGACAAGATTCTGTGATTCGACACATTGGAAGTAAGTTTGTGGCTAATACGCACTAGAGGTATTTGTACAATGCAGTAGCCTGTCCAAAAAACAAAAAAAAATGTCTGTTATATATTGAGAGGGATTTTTCTTAACGCGGTGTTCGCTCTGAAGTTGTTAATTTTTTTTTTCCGGACGGGTGTGCGGGTAACCGATGAGACCAAAATCCGTGACGCTCTCTTTACTGCACAGCATCCTAAAAAACTGCAGCAGCTCCTCTTCCCCCTCTCGCCTCCAGCAAATCCACGCCCAGCTCATCATCCGCCATCTCCCTTCTCTCTCCCCGGTTCTCCTCAACATCCTCATCCGATCCTACTCCAAATCCCCCTCTCATTCCCGCTCCTCCATCCTCCTCTTTCGCCAGCTCCTCTCATTTCAACATCCAAAACCCGACAAATTCACCTTCACCTTCGCCATCTCCTCCTGCTCCCGCCACCCCTCGCCGGA